GGACCCAGATGAGATCTCGCCATCCCTGGGGGCTGCGACCTGCGAAGCCGTCTCCACTTTCGAAGGCCGCTCGGTGGACCAGCGCAGTGACGTCCTGCAGAGGTTTAGAGTCGCCTCGCCATCCCTGAAAGGCTGCTACCTGCGAAGCTGTCGCCTTCTTTCGAGGGAGGCTGGGCGGGGGAGGGCAGCACACTGGTTACGTCCTATGGGGACCTTAGGTCAGAGCTCGCCCTCCTTAGGGGGGCTGCGAGCTGTGAAGCTGCCGCCCCTATCGAGCGCAGCGCGGGGGCCCAGCACATGACGCCCTAGGGGGACTCGAAGTAGAGCTGGCCATCCCTGGGAGGCCGCAAACAGCGGAACCGTCGCCACGTTCGAGAGCTGCTCGGGGGGGGGGGGGGGGACAGCGCAGCGATGTCTTGAGGCGGGGGAGGGAGAAGGAGGAGTAGGAGGAGGAGGAGGAGGGGCGAACAGTGGAGGAGCAGGAGGAGGAAAATGAGGAGGAGGAGGAGGAGGAGGAGGAGGAGGAGGAGGAGTTTGATGAGGCGGGCAGCCTATGCCGCAGGCGCCGTCCACAGGCGCCAGGAGCAGTAGGAGGAGGAGGAGATCTGCTTATTTGTTTTAGTCTTGACCCTCCCTTGCTCAACCACTGCCTCGGGGCAGGCTGTGCTTCCACGTCCTGTCTCAGATGCGAAAGCCTGAGCGTCCTGGAGAGAGAAGAAGTCGATGCCTCCCCTGTAGTTTCCCCAACTGTGCAAGGAGGAGGAGGAGGAGGAAGTCCAACTACCTCGATCATGTCCTTGTCCTTCTCCTTCTATTCCATGAGTCACGCAATGCGCAAACCCCGATTAGTCTTTACAGCAAGTTTCAATCATTGCCACGGCTATTTACCCGAAGAGTTCGATCCAACGGATCTCGGCACTTGTTGTGCAAGGGTTGGTTACGTCGCCAGGGTAATTTTCGGAATCTCCCCAGAGAGCCCAACCTGGTGTCCTGGGGCGGTGGCGAAACACCATGCAAACCCTATGGCTTCTAACTGGTTCGAGTCTGAACGACTGGAGGAGGATGCTGGATATAATATGATGCTCATCTGCCTCAGCGACCCGGACATTTGTCTGACCCGTGCACGGTGATCGATTGCGGACAGCAGATCGCCGTGGCAGACCCGCAGCGTAGGACAAGGCACCCGCCCAGCATGGCAGACCAGCATCGCATACCGGCACCGCAGACGAGGACAAACACGTGTGCATTTGGAGGACGGCACAACAGCAGCGCATAGCAGCATGGTTTACCAGCACGGCAGATTAGATCGATCGATTCGCAGAGCAAGCAAGCAAGCACAGTAGGAGCACGGTATACCAGGACGGCAGACGAGAAGGACATGTTTTGCGTATACTGTCTCACTCTGTCTCTCTCCCCGTCTGTCACGGTCGCGCTATATGTCGGTCTTGGGCCGCGTTCATTCGAATAGCACGTCTACAGCAGAGAGGGGCCTTTGCGGCGTGGGGTAGGGGAAGGAGTATCTCACCCTAATGGGAAGAAGAGGTATGGAATACGAAACGCTTTAAACCACTTGCGCCCCAAATGGCTGGCTGGATTCTTTCACTAGCCGGAAGTGGCTGTAGCATGAAGGAAAGGAGGAGGATATTGAGGCGATTGACCATGCGATGTTTAGATTTTTTCAAAACGGGGTCCCCGGAAGTCTCGACCCATTCCCCAAGATTGGCTCTTCATTCTGACTCATGTTATGGCGGCCCCGGGGCCTGGCGAGGGCCTCCAGAAACCAAATACGGCCAAACACCTCAGTGTGTTGTTTCTTTTCTGTGTGTTGATTCCCGTCATGACCGAAAACAGCGAGATATCTCCATCTGGATTTTTTTCAACACGCTGAGCCCTTGGCTGGCCACCACAATTCAGGAGGGAAAGACACACACAAACACCATTAATCGTCGACTCCCAGGAAAATATCGGAACATAGAGGAAGTGGGGGGGAAGACGAAAACCCGAAAATATTGGAAAATAGGAGGGACCATGGGAATTGTGTGTGTGTGTGTGTTTACTTGTGTGTCCCTGGGCCCCTTTAACAGCGGCGGCGACGACGAGCGGAGCATGCCGAGGACGAGCGGTGCCCCGATGTGGCACCCGGCGCGGCCCTGCCCGCCTCTCGCACCTCGTCGCCAGCGGCGGAGGTGGCCGAGGCGCAGGCCTGGGAGGCGCCGGCGCTCGGGGCTTCCTCCACAAGGGAACAAACAATGACACGAACATACATCGGTTGATTAAGGAATTGGCCGTTTTCGGTTCGCGAGAGGGCGTCGCGGCCGTCATTTTTGCGGGTCCAGTTCCGTCGGTTTCGGTCCCAGGCAGTTTTCACCGGGTTAAGTCGGGCCTGTCCCTCTACAGGTGGAGTAGTCAAAAGTAGTCAAACAAATAGTCTGGGGATTATGTGTTTCAGTATTGTTGCGTATTGTTTGAACATCTTTTCTAGATGTCTTCACTTTTCATACAAAATCCGCCTGTAGGGGGACATGCCCGACCTAACCATAGGGGAACCAACAATCACATAAACAGAACATCTCCGCGCGGATTTCTCGGATCTGCGCTGGCCCTCCCTGGCGCCGCCTCCGGCGCCGCCCCTGGCGCGCCCTGCGCGCCAGGGAGGGGGGTCCAGCGTTGATCCGAGAAATTCGCACGGACCTCCGGGTTTTTATGTTTATGTCATTCTTCGCTCCCCTACTCCAGGGCCTTCAATTTTGGGTGCTGCGAAGCCCAGACGCTCTCGAGTCAAGAGCAAACGCACGACGGGCGGTGTTCCGTCATGTTGGGTGCCCGGGGGTGGGGGGCTCGCCCGGCCCCTGGGCCGCGAGAGACCGAGTCTTGCTGAGAAGCGGGTCCCGGGGAATGGGCCGAGACCTCCGGGGGTCCGTGCTTTGAAGCATGATGACGTCGGGGTTTGGGGCCCACGGCGCCATCACCCAGCTGTTCGCCCGATCTTGGAGCGCCTGGGGCCCCCCTGGGCCTCGTGGAGGGTGCTGAGGAGGGCGTGGGGGCCTCCTCGGAGATTCCCGGGGCACCTTTGGCCAGGGACGCTTCTGGCAGCACCCAGGCAATCCCTCCCCATCATATGGAGGAGAGGGGCTCTTCAACAAGCAACACGGAGGAGAGGGGTTCTTGAGGGAGAGGGGCACTGGGCTTTTCCGCAGTGTTCCGCTAGGCTCGAGGCGGGGGCCTCAAGAGACGGCTCTGGACGGCACACCGGCCATGTGGAGGAGGGGGCCCTGGTGGGCAGGGCCAGGATCTTTCTTCTTCGCGCCGAGCTCCCAGAGCAGGGGTCCGCGCAGATGTCGTGGGTCGCGCTGGACACCCCTCGCACTCCTGGCGGCGCCTTCGTCGGCCCCCACGGCGCGCTCTGGTCGCCGGAGACGTGTGGGAAGGGGGGTCCAGTGCCGACCCACATCCGCTCCAGATGAGGAGTGGGAGGAGGAGGAGGAGGAGGGGGAGGAGCAGGAGGCGGAGGAGGAGGAGGCGGAGGAGGAGGAGGAGGAGGTGGAGGAGGTGGAGGGGAGGAGGAGGAGGAGGAGGAGGAGGAGGAGGAGGAGGAGGAGGGAGGAGGAGGCGGAGGAGGAGGAGAGGTGGAGGAGGTGGAGAGGAAGGAGGAGGAGGAGGAGGAGGAAGAGGAGGAGGAGGAGGAGGAGGCGGAGGAGGAGGAGGCGGAGGAGGAGGAGGAGGAGGCGGAGGAGGAGGAGGAAGGAGTGACGCGGGGCGTTTCCTCTTCAAAACGTGGGCCCAACACCAGAGGATGGTTGGGAATCAATGATTCCCAACCATCCTGTGGTGTTGGTTTCTCGTTTTGAAGAGACAGCGCACAGCGTTCTCGCCCGCCTCCTTCCTCCCTCCTCCTCCCTCCTCCCATCACTTCCTCTGCTCTCTCGCGCGCCCATTTCGGCGCACCCATCACGCGGTTCGTGGCCCCATAGGGAGCTCCACCGAAAGTCCCAGAGGCAGCGCCCACATGCGCCCTCCCCGCCCACCGCATACCCAGTTTCGGCACACCACACATTTCGTGGCCCCAGAAGGAGCTCCACCGAATGCCCTTGAGGCAGTGTCCACATGCGCCCTCCCCGCCCAGCGCATTTTCATTTCGGCACACCCCTCACACGGTTCGTGGCCACATGGGGAGCTCCACCGAAAGCCTTCGTGCTAGGGTCCGCATGCGCCCACCCCGCCAACCGCATGCACAATTCGGTACACCTTTCACACGGCTCGTGGCCCCATGGGGAGCTCCACCGCATGTCAATTTCGGCACACCCCTCACACGGTTCGTGGCCCCATAGTGGGCTCCACCACAGGCCCCAGAGGTAGCGCCCGCATGCGCCCACTCCGCCCACCGCATGCCTTTTTCGGCACACCCCTCACACAGTTCGTGGCCCCATAGCCACCGAAGGCCCCAGTGGCAAAGGCCGCATGCGCCCACCCCGCCCACCGCATGTCAATTTCGGCACACACCCATCACGCGGCTCGTGGCCACATGGGGAGCTCCGCCGAAGGCCCAGAGACAGCGTCCGCATGTGGCCACCCCTCCCGCCACATGTCCAGTTCGGCACACCTCTCACACGGTTCGTGGCCCCATAGGGAGTTTCACCGAAGGCTCTAGTAGCGGGGTTCACGCCCACCGCATGTTTATTTCGGCACACCCCTCACACGTTTCGTGGCCTTGTAGGGAGCTCCACCGAAGCCCCCAGAGACAAGGCCACATGCGGCTCTCCGCCCGCCGCGCGTCCATTTCGGGCTCCCCGCCCGCCGCATGTCCATTTCGGCACACCCCTCACGCGGTTCGTGGCCCACAGGGAGCTCCACCGAAGGCCCGAGAGGCAACGAGCACATGCGGCCCCCAGCCCACCGCCCGCATGTACATGTCGGCACACCAGTCACACGGCTCATGACACCATAGGGAGCTCCAGCGGAGGTTTCAGTGGCTGGGTAACCGGGTTCGTACGCAGCTCCCCGCCCACCGCATGCCAATTTCGGTACACCCCTCACACGGTTTCGTGGTCTCGCAGGGAGCCCCACCGAAGGCCCTCGTGGCAGGGGTCGCATGCTGCCCCCCGCCCACCGCATGTCCATCTCGGCACACCTCTCACATGTTTCGTGGCGCCGCACGGAACCCCACCGAAGACCCTCGTGGCAGGGTTCGCAAGCTGTCCCCCGCCCACCGCATGTCCATCTCGGCACACCTCTCAAACGTTTCGTGGCCTCGTACGGAGCTCCCCCGAAGGCCCCAGTGGCAGGGTTCGCATGCTGCCCCCCCCGCCAACCGCCGCATGTTTATTTCGACACACCCCTCGCACGTTTCGTGGCCCCATAGGGAGCTCCCCCGAGGGTCCCCGTGGCAGTGTTCGCGCGCGGCCCCCCGCCCACCCCACGTCCATGCTGGCACACTTCCCACAAGTGCCGTGGCCTTGTAGGGAGCTCCACCGAAGGCCCTTGTGGGAGGGTTCGCATGCGGCCCCGCTCACTGCATGTCCATGTTCGCACACCCTCACGCGGTTCGTGGCCCCATAGGGAGTCCACCGAAGGCTCCAGTGGCAGGGTTCGCACGTGCCCCCCGCCCGCCGCATGTTCATTTCGACACGCCCTCACGCGGTTCGTGGCACCATACGGGCCCCCCTTTCTTCGTCTCACTTGCCTCGCTGTATTACGTGCATATGGTTGGGTGCTTTGCCAGGATAGTTTTGGCCTCTCGGGGCTGTCTTGGGAAGGGCCCTGGGGCTCCCGTGGGGCGCCGCGAAGGCTTCTTGGACAGTCTGGGGGCCATCTTGGGCATCTTGGACCGATCGTGCAACGAGTCGTGGCCCTCTTGGACCGTCTGGGCAGCCTCTTGTTGCGCTCTTGGCCCGTCTTGGGGCCCTCTTGGGCCGGCACAAGTCATGCGACAAGCCGCGACGGGCCCCAGAGGGCACGACGGGAACCCCAGTAGACTTGCGAGTTCGGTGTTTGGGCCCCTACAAGAGCCCCCAGGATTGAGGACTGAGATTTGAGGGATTAGGCCAAGGACCTGATGAGACCCCAACTCGTGCCTCAGGGCACTGTGGCGCCCTCTACCGCCAGCCAGCAGGCTCAGTTATGGTGTGAATTTCCCTCGCTTCGCGGATCGCGCATACGGAGCGCGTAAGGTCTGAGCGTTGGGACCGCTTGTTTCCCTTCCTCCTCATCCTCCTCCTTTAGCTTCTCCCCCTCTCCTCGCCTTTCCTCGCTCTCTCTCTCTCTCTATCCGTCCCTCTCACCCTCAGATTTGATTCCTCGCTTCCACCCCCCTCTTCAGCTAATATTTCATATTCCTAGTCAGTTTCCTTTCCTTGTTGCTCCTCCTATCCTTCTATTCTTCCTCCTCCTCCTCCTTATCGTCACCTTTTCTTTCTCTTGGGGACAACTTGGCGTCCTCCTGGGGGCTTCTTGGGGGACTCTTTGGGACTCGTGGGGCCCACTCGGGCTATCTGGTGGCGTCTTGGGCCCCTATGGGCCATCTTTGGCCTCTCTTGGGCCATCTCGGGGGCCCTCTTGCCGTTTTCGTGGAGACCTCTTGGATGATCTTGAGGCCATCTTGGAGGCATCGTGAGCCGTCTTGGGCTTGCAGAAGCCCGAACGGGCGAGAACACGAGAACTTGCCAAGCCTTTTGACGCGATCACTGGCTTCGGCTTCCGGAGGCCATTTTCGGGGTCCTGGAGAGGCCCCTTTGGGGTGCCGCGAGGGCCTCTTCGGCCGTCTTCTGGACACCTGGGAGGGTCCTGATTCCTTTTGTTGAGAGTCTTGGATTCTCTTGCCCGAGGTGAGGGCGCCTCCGCGGGAAGGGAGCTCATTAGGAGGAGTCCACGGGCAGCGCGTGCCCAGCGTCGTCCAGCACGTCGTCACCAGCAGCGTTTGGTTATACAGCTAACGCTGTATGTTCAGCACGATTGTCGTTTCGCTCCGCTGTTGTCTTCTGCGGGAGCTAGTGTCGAGGATAGCAGCTGGCCTCCAGCATGTGATGCCGAATCGATATTACGGGCGTTCCGACGAGGATAGCGAGGGTAATTCTTCTCGTTTGAAGTGCGTGGCATTGTGGCTTGGGGAGCGCGAATGAAGTGCAATGCCTGAGGAATTGTCGCCAGGGGAACGCGAGTCTGGCGTATTACAGGGCATTGTGGCCTAAGGATCGCGAGCCCGGTGTGCTTTCCAAGAGATTGTTGCCCCAGGAGCGCGGATTTGATGCAGTTTGCGAGGGATGGTGGCTTGGGGAGCGCGACCGTGGCGTAACGTACTAGGGATGGTGTATTGTTGAGCGCGAGTGTAGCGTAGTGTGCGAGTGATTGTGGCGTCGGCATTGCGAACCTGGAGTAAGTTACGAGGGATATAGGGGTGTTGGGGCGGAGCGGTACCTTGTAGCTCACCACGTGCATCATTGCACCCAACCGTCCCTGCCATAGGCATTACCTGTCTTGACATTATGTTTTCCTCCGTCTTCCTCTCCCTCGTCATTGTGCCTCTCTGCTCCTCCCCTTCCTCTCCTCCTGCCTCCTCCCGTGGCTGCCACTTGTGGGCCAGCGTCGATTGAATTCGAGGCGCAGCCTACTATTTGACTTGGGGTTTGCTACTTACTCGTCCGAGCGCTGCGTGCGAGAACGGCTGTATCTCTGGTCGTTCGGACCTCAGGGAATGCACACGATTGCTTGCGTTTTCTTTTCCCACATCCTCCACTTCCCTATCTTGTGGCAGACGATGAATGGAGAGGAGGCGCGCTGCCAAGTAATCTCCATCTGTACTCCAACATTTTCCAGTGCACGCTCAGCTGCATCAGGGGCCGCGCGCGGGGCCCCCGGGGGAGACGGGGGGGGCCCCGGGGGGCGGCCCCCGCCAGGCGTTCCCTCTAGGGGCCGCGCCCCCCAAGGGAAGGCCGAAACGGCCGCTCAGCGGGAGCGCGCCCGCCGGGGGGGCTCCTCCTCATGGCGAGGCGCGCATGAGGACAGACCTGTATAGGGCGATCAAGGCCATGGAGAGAAGGATGAGAGAGCTGAGAAAACGTTTTTTTCTTACGGAACCATGTTGTCGGCAGTAGCACGGCAACGCTGCACGCCAGGCGCGCGCAAACACAGGCAAAACCAAACGGCCGAGCAAACAAAGAGGCATCGCATCAATGGCCAATTTGCCACCATCGCTTGGATGCGCCAGAACTGCAGTGCGAGAGCAACTGCAACCACGAACGCATGCACATCTTAATCTGATGCATCAGCTCCAAAGCGAACCACGTCAACCATAATATCACCATACCGCCCCATTGAACCATACCCTTTTGCACCGCACCCCTTTCCCCCTTCTAAAGGGGGGGGGAGGGATGAGGAGGGAGGAGGAGGAGGAGGAGGCGGAGGAGGAGGAGGAGGACGCGGAGGAGGAGGAGGAGGGGGAGAAAGAAAAGGAGGATAATGAAGAAGAGGACGAGGAGGAGGAGGAGGAGGAGGAGGAGGAGGAGGAGGAGGAGGAGCAGGAGCAGGAGCGGAGGAGGAAAAGGAGAAGCACGAACGACGATGACGACGCTGACCACGACGACGCTGACCACGACGACGACGACGACGACGACGACAACGACGACCACGACTCTGACGGCCAGTCCGACGCTGGCGACGGAAACGACGATCTTTATGCCGATTAGCTCGACGACGACGACAATGATTCCCACGATTCTGACGGCGACGCCGATAATTCAGGAGATGATTTCGACGAGGACGGCTGCGGCGACGTCTACAGTGATGCTGGCCACGATTCCGACGAAGATTGTGGTGCTCGCGCTGTGGTATGGTTGTCGCAGGCGCACGCTGGTCGCGAGCAGGCCTGTGATCGCATGTGCCTCGCCGGTGCTCTCAGGCCTTGCGCGCGTGATCGAATCGCAGGCCCATGTTGTGCCCGCAGCTGTGGAGTGCTGCTCGAGCGCATATGATGGCGATCGCAGCGTGCCCCCGTCCCGACGATTCCCACCCTGCCCAAGCGTTGACGAGACCTGGGGCCCAGACAGATACCCCCCCCCAGGTAACGACCGTTACACGCCATCATACGAGAACGATCGACGTCGACGCGTCCCTGGCACGTTTTGTCCCCCACATGAAGCTCCGACGGCCCCGGTGGGTGCGTCCGCATGGCGGCACCGCGTCCGATTCGGCGCGCCCCTGATGCGTTGCGTGCCCCATTTTGGACCCCATCGGCCCTGGTCCCTAATGGGTGGGTCTCCATTGCGGTCACCCATCTCATGTTCCGTGTCCCCATAGGGAGCTCCGCCGGCGGCTCCAGCGGAAGGGTCCGCATGGCGCCACCGTACCTTTTTTGCCTACCCCTCACGCCCTCAGCTGGAGGGTCCGCGCCTATTTTGGCAGGCCGCTCATGCGTTTCGTGGCCCCGGTAGGGAGTTCACCCGAGGCCCCAGCGGAAGGGGTCCGCATGGTGGAACCGTGCCTATTTCGGCACACATCTCGTAAGGAACGTGGTCCCATGAGGGGCTCTACCTACGGCCCCTGTGGGAGGGTCCGCATGTCGGCGCCGTGGCTTGGAAATTTCGGCACCTCCCTGCTGAGGACTCTGGCTCCATCGGCACACCACACACACCAGGCGGATCGTGCCCCACAGGAGGCCCCGCTCGCGTGAGGAGCTGGTGGGTTCGCGTGGGGGGGCACCCCTCACGCGGATCGTGCCCCATCGCCAGTACAGAGCGAATTTGCGCACTCGCCCACAAGTTCCGTATCGCACTGCCCCGCGTCGCGATGTATTCGAGGAAAGGGCCGCCAGCCCTTCGCCCAGATAACTCCACATCGTGGGCCATGGGGCAGTAGTTTCAAGGGCTCCTAGAGTCAGAACAGAACAAGAAAGAAACACGCGATGTTCTGCCAGGGCGAGGAGGCTTTTTACCAACCCTGAACATTTCCCAACCACTATGATTGGTACCACCTAATCTCATGCCGATGTTCAGGATTCCCTCAGTTTCGG